TTATTATTAAATTCTCATAATTTTAAAATTATCTCTTTCCTACGTGGCAACCCTTTTTTATTGTCTTTCGTGTTTTCTATTTTCCTCCATTTTCTATTTTTTTGATTAATTAAAATGAAAATTAATTTCATGGCTTATGGATAAATATTTGAATTTCAAAATTCCTCCATATAGATAAACATATAAAAACTGATAAATAATTTATGAAAATTAATTTCATGGTATACAGATAAAGATAAAAATTAAATACTTAATTTCATTATAAATAAACATATAAAAAAATCATAAATAATTTATGGAAATTTATTTCATGACATTTAGATAAAGATAAAAATTTTAAAAATTATTTGAAAAATAATAATTTCATGACTTATAGATAAATAAACATATAAGAATTGATAAATAATTTATAAAAATTAATTCCATGGTCTACAGATAAAGATTAACTAATTGATTTACAAAAAAAAATTAAAATAATAAAATTTAGATAAATATATGATTTGTTAATCTATATCTATCAAAAACATATCTATCTAAATCTTTATTTTGGTTTACTTATATTTTTTTTCTCCTTTTATCACATATTATCTTTTTTTATTTTGAATTTTTTATCTTGTGAAATACTCTTATCTATAACTTCTTATCTCCTCTTAACCTAATCCTCATAATTTTTATTATTTGTTATTATCTACCAAGTGATAAAGATATATATAAAAAAAGAATGGTTGGCTATGAATAAGAAGAGTATTAATAATTAAATAATGAAAGCTGTATGGGAGAAGGCAATACAAAAATCTCACAAAATTATTTTCCGTCACTATATTTATCTAAGGTAATAATTTGATATTCTTTCTTTTAATTTTTAAAAATAGTTTACATTAGATCATTGCTATGTGTTTTTTCTTTTTCTTTCTTTTTATTTTTTTTATAAGATTGTCATTTGTTATAGTATTTTTTCAATCTCATCTCTAAATTTTCTCTTTGAAATTTCTATTTTTTTAATAATAAAGTTTAGAACTAATTTCTTATCAAATTTGTTTTCTTGGTGCTTATTTTATTGAAAGATTGAGACAAGTAAAACTTTCATATGATATATGAAATTAATGAATATAATACAAAGATGGTAGAGAAATACTACATATTTGTTGATATCTCTCTTTTATTATTAGTTGATTTATTAGATTATATTATCAATTTAGATCCCATATGATTTAATTCAATGCTCATGACTTTAGTTATATTCGACCATTTTGTTGTTGAGTAACCTATATAAATTTTTTTTTTGGTATATAATGATTAAAGCTATCATTTGTTATATTTCTTCATAATTTGTCATCATTTTTTTTATAAACAAAATGGATTAAACTATTTTCTTATATAATTTTTATAATCCTACGAAATTCTTATCTTGATTTTTTTTTTTAAATGTTGTAGAAACTATGCAAGTATTATTCAAGTTATGGAGAATGATTACTTACAAATTATAATTAAAAGCTGAGATTTATTTATAATTTGGTCCCACAATAATAATATAAATCATTGATTTAAAACAAGTAAATTTATGATAACTTATAAAATTTATTTCTTTTAATGTTTTTTTTTTGTTTTTGTTTTTTTTGCATGAAACTATAGTCTGATATAAGTTATTTATGTTATCAAGTGATTGTAATACTATTATCCCAACAATCTTTATAATTAACAATTTTTTATGTATATCAAATTTTTATTGTGAAATTTTGTAGATTAATTATTGTTAACATCAACCAAGATGGCTTAAGATCATGGCTTGCTGCTATTAAAATATAATTTAAGATTAGAATAATTTATATATCACACAAAATGTATATAGTTTATTTTTCCGTGCATCACACGGGTTACCGCTAGTTGTAATGTAATAGAAATAAATTTTTATCTTTTTTGTTTTATCCAAATAATTTTTTTTTTTTTTTTTTTTTAAAGATAATGATATATGAAAAGCCCAATTTAAAAAATTCGCTTTAGACCCTTAATAAGTCGGGGCGGCCCTGCCTACATGTATTTATAAATGAGATCATCATGGAAGGAAAATAGACTAGTTTTCGAGTAGTACAGTATTTTGAGATTAAGGAACTATGGTTTCTTTTTTATTTTTATTTTTTTAATTTTTTTAGTCAGTGATGATGGCAACATTTTACTGAAGGAAGTATCAAACCATTTGCAGATCATGTCTGGGAGTCTTTTCCATAACTGATGATGGAAACTCTTCAGCATCGTAAACAGAATTATGCTTGGAATTCTCAAACCTCCACCCATCAGCCCACAATGCATAAGCTTGCTCTCCATGTATCTCATCATCTCCAATTTTCAATTCCTCATCACTCATTCTAAGCGGAACGATCAACTTGATGAACAAACAAATCAAACTCGTGCTAACAATGTTGAGACACACAATGAAAGCAACTCCTGCAAGTTGAACCGCCATTTGTCGAAAGCCAGCAGAAGTTCGGCCACTCTGGAGGCCATAAGCAAGGCCAATGTATTTGTCCCAGTCGGGAACCATGTAAAAAAGGCGACTCAATTTGGGTACTGCGAAAAAGCCTGTGAGAATGCCACCCAAGCTTCCAGCAATGGCGTGAGTATGAAACATGCCCATTGTGTCGTCTACATGTCTCAGTAGCTTGATCTTGTCATGGAGGACCATCATCGTGTACCAGGGAACACTTCCTGAGATTATGCCCATCAGTATGGCTGCCCAGCATTGCACCACTCCTGTTCAACAATATAACCTTTATAAATATGAGGTAATTATTCAGTAACAAAAATGTTTAAGACCCCATTTCCCCTCACCCCCTTTGATCCCCTTTCTGTTTTGATTGGCTATTTTTTCTTTTGCTTTTTTTTGTTTGCCTTCTCCTCTAATCACCACCCGTCACGTGTGTGTGGGGGTTGTGGAGGTGGTGATTGGAGGGGGCTTCTATCAATGCTCTATTCAGTAATCGGGAGAATGGATACGTATTATTCTATAGTATTATGATTGGTAGAGAATGTGGATAGATAGAGTATTATGTTGGGTGATTGGAGAACATGAGGGGATATATTGAATAATGATTGATTAAGGAGTACAGACACGTAATATTCCGGGAATGATGAATAATTTCTCATAAATATGTACATGGGTATATATGAAAAATGTCTCGTAACTCAAATTTTGTGACTCAAAAGTGGCTCAAATGGCCAAAACGACGTCGTTTTGGCCATTTTTATATTGTTCTGTACTCAAAACGACGTCGTTTTGGCCATTTGAGTCACTTTTGAGCCACAAAATTTGAGCTACGTAGCATTGTCGGGTATATATATATATATATATATGAGAAATGATATATTCCTCTAATTTGGGAGCTTTAAAAGAACACTAATGATGTGAAAAATAAAAAAAAAATAAAAAAAATAAAAAAAAATGAAAAAAAATTAAGGCCAAAACATCACATCACATGCGACCCACATATCAATTAGAATTATTAGAACTCTTAATTTAGAGTTCTCAATTTTTTTTCTATATATATATATATCTCGAAAAAATGTTTAACTTTTAAAATTAATGAATACTTGTAATAATAATGTTATAATAATCATATTTTTTTATATTTTACATTTCATGTATTATCATTATATTAATAATAAATATTTTGAAAATTAATTCCAATTGATCAATTTAACTAACGGTCATGCATGTACTTATCACCCTAAAAAACAAAACAAAACAATATTTTGAAAATTAGACCAAGCTATATGTATATTTCTTTTGTGTACCACCTTAATAAAAAGTTTAGTAGTAAAAACAATTGAACTCTGTTACATGTCGCACAAAGTACCTAGTTTCTCCACAAGACTATCTTTATATTTGTGTAAAAGGTAAAACGCTATATATTATTTATTCATTCTTTTTTACAACCAAAAATACTATATTTTTTTGGGTGGGAATTAAATTTAGTAAATGAGTTAGCACTTGTATATCTTAATAGGTTTTTTTTAGTTAATAAAGTTGGCTTTGGAGCCATTGATTTTGGAGTGGAAATACAATAACTTGGCTAGCTCTAGAAGCAAAAATGGGAAGGCTTGCCATCCCTGCCCGTGATTTTTAGGATTGTTTTAAAAATTGATTATTTTAATTAATTTTTTAATTTTTTACGAAGATATGTAAAAAGAATTTTTAAAAAATTACTTTTTTTTTTTATAGTGATTTCTTAATTTTTTAATTATTTTAGTATGTTGCCAAAAATAGTCATTAGTTAGGCTAAGTTTGGCAACTCCAATATAATCCATCTTTTTATCTTTTTTCCATCACATCATCTCTCTACTTTTCTGCATATCTTTTCATAAAAAATAAAAAGTATACTTATTTAGGTCATCCTAAACAACCCCTTAATAATGTTTACCAGCAGCAGGAGTGATGCAAACAAGGCCAGTGATGATGCCTTGTACAGCACCAATGACAGAAGGTTTGCCAAAGATGAAGGTGTCGAGTGTGATCCAAGTGAGCAAGCTTGTAGCAGCACATACGTGCGTGTTCAGTGCGGCTAGAGATGCGTCTGTGCTGGCGGCGTAAGGTGCTCCACCGTTGAACCCCGTCCATCCCATCCAAACCAGTCCTGCCCCTGCTAGCGTCATCAAAATGTTGTTTGGAGGAAACCTGGCCCTGTCCTTTTCCTCTCTCGGTCCTACCTATATATCATCATATATTTATCAAGAAATGCAAAGAATTAAAAACAAATTTATTAAACATTTTATACAATAATCACTATTAACAATTCTATGCGATGATTGTATAGAATTTTTGATATTTTTTAAGGTTACTTTATATTTATGTAGAAATATAAGAGTTCTTAAAAAAAATTACTAATTTTTTTTTTTTTTCCATAGTACTCACATAGGTTTTGTGTAAAATTTTTAGCCTCACACCATATAAATATTGAGAAAATTTACCTATAAATTTCATATGGGAGAATGTTAATTCATTTACTTCGAAGAGTTTTCTTATGAACTACTTAGTTCTTTTTGTTTTAGGAAGTCGTATTTATTTGATTTAGTACCATTTGAATTTAAGTAAATGTCTTTTTGTAATTTATTTTTCCAATTTCTTATTCATTTTTGGAATGAGAATGGTAATGTGAGGTACAAAAGATTCTTTTTGGGAGAATTGATGGCTAAAGTGTTGGTTATCGAATGTGGAAATCTACATTTCTGTAAGTGTAATTTTTTAGTATTACATTGAAGTGTTATATTAGAGTGCTATGATTAAAAAAAATACACTAAGAAATTTTTTATGTATTACATTAATTAGAGTGTTACGTTTGAGAAAAATACACTAAGGATTTTTTTTTTTTAATGTTACATTTGAGAAAAGTACACTAAGAATTTTTTTAGTGTGTTACATTTGAATATTATGTTTTTAGAGTGTTACATTTGGAAAATGTATGCTAAGGAATTTGTGTGTGCTACATTAGTTAGAGTATTACGTTTGTAAAAAGTAAACTAAGAATTTTTTTTTAAAATGTTGCGTTTTTACATTTGATAAAAGTACACTACGAAATTTTTTAGTATTTTACATTGGAGTGTTACGTTTGAAAAAATTACACTAAGAAATTTTTTTTTGAAGTATTACGTTTAGTAATTTTAACATTGTGAGAAAACTCATATTTGTCCCTCAACACATAACACACGCGTGTTTATGCTTGGCCTTTTATGTAATTCATACTAGAATGAAATATTTGGGTTTATAAAAAAAAATAAAGGATCAACCAATTTATAAGATCCTATTTGAGATTTATTTGTATTTCACCCTTTATATTATAATCAAAATATAAATACTAGTACCGATTTACAAATGCCATGATACTTTCATATTACTCACCACATATATTAAAAGAGTAATGTTAGAGAGTTCAAGAGTTTTAACAAATTTTCTATCAAATGTCTTATATGAATGTGGGATTCACATAGTGTGAGACCCATATGGTATGAATCTCACACTCATATAAAATATTTATTGAAAATTTTGATAAAATTTTTGACATCTATGATTTTTCATATTAAAAAAAACCAGAGACAATAAAGATGGGGCTTCCAAAGTAGATATAAATATTTTTTCTTTTCATTTCACTACTTTTCTTTTTCTTGCAAGAATTTTACCACACAACACTCGTAATATTACGTAAATTGATGTTATGGAAAAAGGTGCACATAACATGATGATTAGTAATATTATGGGAAATGTTTCGGTGTGTACACCGTATATAACTTAACAATAAAATTACGTAACTATTTAGGAATTTACATAAATGATTATATAAAAATATATAAGTTGAACATAAATTTGTATAAATTCATGAAAACTTATGTGATTATTCGAATTTGTGTTGAATTTGCACATTTTTGTGAATTCACTTATATAAGTTCGTAAACATTTATATAATTTTGTATAGGATTACATATGATGTGTAATGCACACCCAATGTTTTTTTTCATAATTTTTAATATGATGCTTTTAAATAAGAAATTCATATTTGATAATAAAGAAATATTTCTAATCTTTCACATAGATGAGAGATAGAAATTCTATTTATTTTTTAAAATTTCTATTTAATTTAAACTATATTTTTACTTCGTTTATAACATTTAACCTAAAAATAGTAAATGATATGTAACATATTTTAATATATATAGTAACGAGTCATTGTGATCGTATCCAACTTCTAAATACATATTTTAATATTCTAAGATTATTTATAAAGGTCCAATACTATAACATGCACCTACACCCGATTCTCATAAATACACATGCAATGAATATATATAGGAGGTGAAATAAAATGGTAAAATAAATCTAAAGATAAATAACTATTATGTATATATAAACTGAAAACTAAGAAGGAAGTTCAAAATTTTGGCGTTGCAATGAATTGAAAGTGAACAATTCAAGAACTTCTTCATTTTTGCAAATTATGTTACGTGGAATTACTTTTGCCCATTGAGGTCTGAAAAATAACGGTGGTGTTACATGTATCAATTGATATATTAATTAGTGTATTAACGGGTAATGTGACATAATTTTAGAGATTTTAAATATTTATAATTTGTATAATGAATGATGTCATAATTTTAAAACGATAATGTTATAATATATATTAGTACACTAATTGATATACCAGTAAATATATATAGCATTATTGGGGGGGAAAAAAAAACCAGGGATATGAAGTTGGGATTTCCCAATTCACTAATTCATATTCAACCAAAGACAACCTGAGGGAGTGAAGTCAAACAACCCTCAACAAATAATAATTATAGAAAACTTAAATTGCAACTCAAAAATAGACACATACCCTTTTGAAAAATCCCACATCGTCAACCTACAAGGATCAATAAAATCATATACGGCACGGGATTTTATAAAGTGAACATAATAAAATTAAAAAAAAATTATGCTATTTAGTTGTATTTTTTAATATGAATAAAATATTTTTATTTAATTTGTGTATATAAACCTTACTATACATCATTCAAAAATTTTAATATTTCACAACATGAAAACTTTTAGAAAACTATCATAAATTATGTAAATCATCACATAACAAATAGATAAAAAAAGTTAGTTAAGACAATCAAAAGTGGAGTAACAAAAGCATAAAATTAGAATTAATCAAAATGACTAACGTGGAAAATTTTAGAAAACTAACATAAATTATGTAAATCATCACATAACAAATAGATAAAAAAAGTTAGTTAAGACAATCAAAAGTGGAGTAACAAAAGCATAAAATTAGAATTAATCAAAATGACTAACGTGGAAAATTTTAGAAAACTAACATAAATTATGTAAATCATCACATAACAAATAGATAAAAAAAGTTAGTTAAGACAATCAAAAGTGGAGTAACAAAAGCATAAAATTAGAATTAATCAAAATGACTAACGTGGAAAATTTTAGAAAACTAACATAAATTATGTAAATCATCACATAACAAATAGATAAAAAAAGTTAGTTAAGACAATCAAAAGTGGAGTAACAAAAGCATAAAATTAGAATTAATCAAAATGACTAACGTGGAAAATTTTAGAAAACTAACATAAATTATGTAAATCATCACATAACAAATAGATAAAAAAAGTTAGTTAAGACAATCAAAAGTGGAGTAACAAAAGCATAAAATTAGAATTAATCAAAATGACTAACGTGGAAAATTTTAGAAAACTAACATAAATTATGTAAATCATCACATAACAAATAGATAAAAAAAGTTAGTTAAGACAATCAAAAGTGGAGTAACAAAAGCATAAAATTAGAATTAATCAAAATGACTAACGTGGAAAATTTTAGAAAACTAACATAAATTATGTAAATCATCACATAACAAATAGATAAAAAAAGTTAGTTAAGACAATCAAAAGTGGAGTAACAAAAGCATAAAATTAGAATTAATCAAAATGACTAACGTGGAAAATTTTAGAAAACTAACATAAATTATGTAAATCATCACATAACAAATAGATAAAAAAAGTTAGTTAAGACAATCAAAAGTGGAGTAACAAAAGCATACTAAAATTATAATTAATCAAAATGACTAACATTAAATAAAAGAATGCCATTTTTTTCATTTTTTTTTTCAATCAATAAGAGATTGTATTAATTATCTCACACAGTATAATGAATTAAAATAAAAGATTAAGTTTAGACAAAAGATATACTTGGAATTATATCATATTTAAAATTTATATGGATAATTAATTGATGATTTTTACAGATAAATAAAATTCAACTTGAAGATAAACTTTGAAAAGATTAAGTTGAAATATATGAGAATCTACAACAATCAAGTTCAAATAGAAGATAAACTCCAAGAGATAGGGAATTTTGAAGAAAATAAAAATTTGAATTCAAATTTAAAGATAAAATAAGATAAATATGAGAAAATAGAATAAATTAATTAAAATTTCAACTTTGAAATTTTGATCTTATCTATAGGCTATGAAATTAATTTCCATTGAAAAAATAATTTGACAATTAAAAAATGAAACAAAAAAGAAAACATGAAAGGCAATAAAAGAGGATTGCTGAGTAGAAGAGAAAAATATTAAAATTATAAAAATTTAAGAATAATTATTTTAAATTTGTTTAGAACACACTATATTTTTTTAGGCGACGGATAAATATCCTAATGATTATGAAAATTTTAAATTTTTTGTATTTATTATTTTTTTTTATAATCAAATAGTTATGATTGAGATATAGTCAAATATCTAACCTAATTGATCATGACCACATATACTAATTAATTTAGCTATTATTCAATTAGGTGTTTTCACCATCTAAAAAAAAAGTTAGATGTTTTTTATTTTTTTGTAGTAGAATAAGATAAGTATTTTTAATGTTTAGTGTTTTTTTTTTTAATTTAATAAATAGTTATGATTAACTTACTATCAAAAAATTTAACTCAATTGGATTTTGTCCCATGTAATAAATCTTTATTTTGTATTTTTAAAATTTTAAATTTACTAAACATGATTAAATGATGATTCAATAGGAACCAAATTAATACTAATAGTTGATCAATTTTTTCCTATAAGGAATAAAAATTAAAAAGAAGAAAGATTAAAAAGAAAGATATCTTAATATAAAACTAATCATTTAAAAAAAAAAAAGAGCTATAATATATAATA